CCGTGTACACGCCGTCTTCCGAGCTGCCCTCGGCACGCGGGTATTGCCAGTTCATTGCATCACTTAGGACACCATCAATGAAGAGACCTGATGGCATTTTAAGGGAAGCACGAAGGACGAAGAAATAAAGACTACAAACGGACTGTTGGCGCCGAGGCCCTGTGTGGGTAGTGCACCAGCGTGAGATGTGTCCACCGAGCAGGTTGCAGCCTAGATTTGAAGTTCGGCAGCTCTCTCGCCACATTGCTTCTGCAGCCGAGGACACCATCGGGATAGATCTGCATCGAGAACACGGGCGACCCCGCCACGACGAACGAGAACAAACTCTGCGGCTTCTCGACAGGAAACTTCTCGATTCTGAGCCAGGCCATGAACGTAAAGCCACCGCCGGGCAGACTCCTCAATCCAATGGGAACGCTGATGGCGGCCGCATCTTCCATAGACATGTGCTCCGGCCACCTCGTCTTCATTCCCGCACGCAGCAGCTCGAGGACCTCGCCGTTCAGGCTGTCGTCCTCGTTCACCGCCCGTTGGAACATCGTCCGCGCAACCGTCGTGTCCGAGCCCAGCTCCATGAGGCGCTTGAGCACCCGGAGCACCGCCTGCCGCTCCTGTCTAACAAGGATCCGCGCGGGGCTGGGGCCGCCGCTGGCGTGGTACAGGTCGAACAGGGGGCCGATGAGGTCGAGGCTCGTGAGCACGGCGTGGTTGCGGTGGCTGTGGAACGTCAGTCTGTCCAGCAGCTTGAGCGTCGTGTAGCGCAGCCGGCCGGCCTTGGGCTCCGGGAAGTGGTCCATGGACGCGAAGAGCACGCGGAACGCCCGCGGGTGTCGGATGAATTTGAGCATCGGCTCGGCGTCCTCCAGTTGGGTGTCGACGGACTCGTACGAGAACTCGTCGGGGCCGATGAACATTGCTGAGAGCGAGAAGTTGTGTACACCGAGGGCGACGAGGAAGCCGAGTGTCTGCTCTACTGTTTTGGTGTCCGAGACGAGAGGGAGGATAGATTGACGCAAGGAGTCATACCCTACAGAGCGCTGCACAGAATCAGCAGGGCGGTGGTATAAGTGAGCTGAATATATACACACCTCAAAGAACGAAGTGTTCGCTTTGTGGTTGTCCATGGCTTCTGAGACGATGACGAACACAAGCCGGACCGCATCCAGCACCTCATGCACAATCTCGTCTCCAGGCTCAGCGAGCGCCCAGGAGTGTCCCGGCTGCATCGTCGAGAGCACGCTCATGAGGACGAGGAAGCCGTCCATCTCGCGGAACACGTCCTTCGTGCACGCGTCCTGCACCATGATGCCATGCACCTCGACGAGCACCTGCAGCCGCACGTTCATATCAGCTCGCACAGCAAACAGCAGCGGGAAACGCGCGTACTTGTGTGCGGTCGCTCAGGCCCTCTGCGACCTTGAGCCGTTCGACGGCGTTGCGCATGACCTCCACGAGCACATCCCGCGCGAAGTCCTCTGGCGACGGCTCGTCCACCACGGGAAATGTGCTAACATCGGGGCGCGGGGTCAGCGGGAAACGATTGCTCAGCGGCGAGAGTAGCGAGCGCAACATGGACTAGGAGAGGCTGTGGGCCGCGCTGCTGTCTGCGACCCAGCCGGTGGTGGTAGTACAGAAGGCTTCGTGACGAGTGCGAGTAAAGTACAGACAAACAGAAGGAGGCAGAGGGAAGCGGATTCAGGCCAGGATGTTGGGTGTGGGTGACAGCAAGCTGGCCTGATACGCAGGAGGCGGAGTTGGCGAGGCGCGCCTGCTGCCTCCCGACGCGCCTTGACGCGTTTGCCTTTTCCGGGGCCCCGCCCATTTCACGTGACAGGCCAAACAGAGCGCCTTGAGCGGAAGCGAAACGGGGTTGGTTTCTCACAGCGTTCCTCCTGAGTCCTCAGACTCTGCTTCATGCCGCTCCTGAGCTAGTGATACCTCGCGTCCGAAAGACACAAACACGACAACGCGCTCCGGGACGCTTCCCCACCTGGCCTGGACGCCTTCCTCGGTTCTGGCGGCCTCGACTTCCTGTCTCTACGCTCTGACGACCGCTGGCGACCACGACAAACCATGCTCAGCATGCTGGCGACACTCCTGGCGACGTTCTGGCTCTTGGCTGCTCTCGCCGTCTCCGTCTCTGCAGGTCTGTACGGCACCTCTCCCGTCGCGAGCACCGTCTGGAACGCAGGACGCTCCTACACCGTCACCTGGACGGACGACAAGTCGGCCCCGCACCTCGCCCAGTTCGGGCGTGTGGATATCGAGCTGCTGTCCGGCGGCGACGACGAGGTACGCGTGTTGCACTCCCCCATACAAAAAAGCCTCCGTGTCTCGCGCCACCCTGCTGTGTTGAAAATAACCGTGTGTCTTGGTTGCCGCGTACCAGAGCCCGATCGCGACGCTCGCCCGGGACGTCGATGCGGCCACCCGGGCGCAGGCCGTCTGGGTGTCGCCCGCGTGGGGGCACAACGGCTCCGACTAGTAAGCCTCCGACCGCTGCGCGCCCTCGCCTGCCTGACTGACTGACCGCGCACACCTGTCTGCGTCTGCCGCGTCCCCCAGCTACCTCTGCTTTCGCAGCAAAACTTTGCGCACCGCCGTCTACACCGCCTCCTTCACGATCCTCGACATGGCTTCCCTCGCGCCCGCGGCGGCGGCGGCGGACAACCAGACGACGACGGCGCGTGCGCTGTACACGCCCTACCTCACGCTCGTCCTCCCGAACACCACGCTCGTCTCCGCGCTCGCGCCGCAGCCGCGCACGAGCGCGCTGAGCCCAACCGCCACGCCCGTGAGCGCCGACGATGAGAGCGCGTACCGCCGCGCACACGAGCCGCACGGTGCCAGCAGCAGCAGCGGCGCGGCGGGCGGACGACATGCCGTCGTCGACTTTGAGCGGCTCAAGTTCCGGCTCGTGTTCATCCTCTGGCCGGCCGTGGTTGGGCTCACCATGGCCATGTAGATAATCCCTTGTCCCGGACCGTCTGGGACTGGCCTGTGTTTTTTGGACAAGTTCGGACACACTACTAGAGCACTACGACT